AGCTGATGTCATGAGTGGATCTGTTGGAGAACATATAGCACTGAACTGACCCGCTTAGAGACTCCACAAGTATTCATTATAGAGAGTATCATTGGATTTGAAAAGTCTCTGAACGTTTGGTAGTGCGGATCGTCCTAGACTTTAGGATGTCATCGAATACTATGTCCTAGAGTTATACTTTGACTGTACAACTCTATCCGCCTGAAAAATGGGGAAAACAGTGTACTCTTGGGTATAACTCGAATACATGAGTATAGATGGACATGCCGAAAGGACTCACAATCCCCTATAAGGGATTAGTCGTTCACAAAGACCGGTAGGGCTGAGATGACTTCTAGTTGACTCGGGAATCTATGCATAGTAAGAGATCACGAAGAGTCATGATCTGTCTTAGAGTCAATAGAAGAAGATTCCTAATTCCTGTGAAATATTATATTTAGTCAAAAAAGAGAGATGATACTCTATCCTTGCTCTCGACTAAATGTGAATGACGATGTGAGGGATAATGCTGGCACAGTATCCAAATCAGAAAGGTAGATCACTTGATCAACTCAATTAGTTTTAGGGCTACAGAGCATTGCTAGTGTATCATGTAGTCATTAAATGAATTGGGCCTTTTAAAGGAGTTTAACTAGTTCAAGTTTATTTATGTCCGTAACTAATTGGGCCTAATGGGTCACACACAAAGGTTATTCCTTATTGCAAGTTATGGCAAGTTTGGACCAATAATGAGTTATTGGGCTTTGTCAAGACTATGAGTCAAGTTGGGTTGGAGTAGGGACTCCATGCCCACTTGATCCATGCGCCTTTTTGGGGCATTAGTGGTGAAAGAGTTTCATCCACTAATGGGCCCAAATATGATGATAGGCCAAAGAAGCCTTGGGGCATGAATCTTAGTAAGTCAAACAGTTGACTTGACCAAAATAAGGTTTGGGCAAATTTGAAATTTGAAATTTGAATTTTTGAAATTTGAAAATTTGAAATTTGAATTTGAATTGAAATTTGAATTTGAAATTTGAATATTTGAAATTTGAATTTCGAATTCAAATTACGAACTTGGATAAGATTGAATTTATATTTAAGTTTAAATTTCAAATTTGAATTTGAAATTTGAAATTGAATTTTAAATTCTATGAGATTAGGTTGTTGAGAATAATTTAAAATTATTTAAAGGAATAATCCAATAGAGATTGGAAGAAGATTCTCTCAACTACTATTTCATTTGAATTCGTAATTTAAATGAATACCATTGCAACAAAATTTCTGAGGAAAGGAAAGGTATTAAAGTGGCGCATAATTAAAGGGAGTGAATCAAGGAACGTCCCTCTCATCATTCAATATGTGCGCCTAATTAAAGGTGGCTGATGAGGGGCGCCTAATCAAGGGAGAGAATCAAGGAAAGTCTCTCTCATCCTTTTAATGTGTGCGCCTAATTAAAGGGAGCTGATGTGGGGCGCATAATGAGATGGAGATAATCAAGGAAAGTCTCTCTTATCACTTTAACTTGTGCGCCTAATCATAGGAGGGGCTTATGTGGTTGATCAGTTTTTTTATAAAAACCTGACGCATCATCTTTCCTATGTGTGTGTAGAATTCGAAAAATAAAAAGCTCCAACCTTTTCTTCTCTCTCTGGTTGCACCATCACCTAACCTCAAGACACCATTATAGTCTTGAGAAAAATAATCCAAACACTTGGTAGCCTCTTCCTTGCATGCGCCTAGCCAGCCACCGAGGATAAGGAGGGATCAAGGAGAAAGAGTTCTCGCTAGCAAGAAGGAGATAACCGTGTGGATCACCATTGGAGGGCGTCATCCTTTTGCGCCTACAAGTGAAAAGGTAATTCTGAAACCCTATTTCGTTTCAACGTAAAGCATTCATACATGGGGTGTATAGATGGTCTATACTTTCGCTGCGAATTTTTTTTGTTTTCCACCCATGTATGCGCACCATAGTATGACTATGGTGCAGTCTTTTGAACCTTCAGCACGTGTAAGTGAGTTTGGGGTGGAAGATCCTTGAGGATCCATTGTCTTACTGAGATTTCTTGTTTAGAGATCTCACCCCACGTTTGGGGAATGCTTATTTCAGGTTCAGGTAGTATGGTGACTGATGCCTCTGGCGGCAGGAGGCCAGAGCTTAGCTGATTATGATATTTATGCTGTATTGCTGTCATGACTGGATTTAGATGATGTTTATGTTTCCCGCTATTTATGATTATGTTGTTGTTGAGACTGATGTTGGGCTTGTTGCCTTATTTGAGTGAGCATGAGGATTGTCCATGACACTTTATGTTAGTACTCTTAGACTGGAGTTGTATAACCTGCTAGTTGGTCCGGCCTACTTGTGGTAGTCCCGTGATTTCTAGAGACACACTTATATTATCTATGTTATGAGGTATTTCAGTTAGCTGTTTTATTGCAATTACATACAGGCGATGTTTTATTAATTGATTAATAAGCAGGTTGGTAATGATCATGACATCATAATTGGAAAGAAAAAGATATTCCACATTTTTAATTAAGCGTTGTTTAATACGATAGTATGATAACATTACCGGATATATACGGGGTGTTACACACTTAGCCAGCAAAATTTTAACTTCTCCCCAACCAAACACTACCAAATACACTCGCGGAGCTCATGATAATGCTACTAGGCTGCATATTCTAACTCTGAAGATGTTATTCAGCTCATCAAATATCCTCAACTTTAATCTACGTGTGCTTGCGATATCGGATTTAGATTATGTGAAAAAATAGTCATATTATTTGATTACAATCACTCATTGATAATAAAATAAGGAAAAAAATTGTATAATTTTTAAATAAGTGATTATAATCAAATAACATGATCACTTGATATTTTTTTACATAAGAATATTCAAATCCTGCAATATCTCTTAAACTTTGTTTGGGAATTACAGGTTAGAAGGCAGGGCATTCACCTTCTTTAGACATTTTTTGTACTTTACTTCTACCGGACTCCATCAACATTTCCTTTCGTAGAAGCTAATTCCTTTCTTGCCTTTTCTTATGTACCTAAAGAAAAATAGAACACTGATTTGTAATCAAGTGTACTTATTTTTAAACTCCGTTTCAAGTGCCTTTGGTTTTTAAATCTTTTGTTATTATTAATTCTTATCCAATAAATATTTGAAAAAAAAAAAAATTTCTTGCAAACTTTATCAAAATTGTTTTGTCAGTCAGATTTTTGGACCCATTTGAATTAGCTTTTTGTAAGGAAAAAAAAAAGCACGCCCATTTGAATATTTGCTTTTAAAAAAAAATAGAAATCACAAAAAAAAAATCAAATCTATTTTTTTAAGTTAAAAATTTTAGTTTCTAAAGAAATCAGAAGTTAAAAGTCAAATATTTTTTTTAAAACCCAATTTTTTTTTTAAATCTAAATAGTTTTAACTTTTTTAAAAAACACTTTTAAAATAAGAAAGACATAAAAAATATTTTTTTTCCAAAAGTCCATCCAAACAAACAGACCTTTTAATCATAAAAGTTTAAAAAAGTTACATTTTCTTAAATGAAGTTGTAACTATTTTAAAATTTACTTTAATGAATGTTAAAAACACATTAAAAGATCTTAATGTACTTAAAACTTTATCAAACTTTTTTTTCCACTATTAGAACTTTTGTGAAGTTGGAGTTTCTTTTTGTGTACAATCGAAGAATGTTATTTTGTCGAAACTTAAATATATTTTACCTACTTCCTAATTTCTCTTGTTTATTAATAGTGGTTTAAGTGGTGTCTAAGCGAGGTCTACTATGATAAGCACTTCTTTATTTAATAATGGTAAAATGTCTTTGACAATATAAACGTGTATGTTAAGTGTTAAGGAATGCTGGCACTAGGCCCCTTCATTGGGGTAAGGCGAAATATACTCTCATATTTTCTAAATTCATCACTATTTTTTTTTTTTTAACTAATCAAATTAGAACAATTAGGTCCCTCCACGCTTGTTGTGACTATACCGTTCAGTTATCAAATCGATGATGTGCATAATGCATATAACCTTGAGCTGAGATCGGTTTTGTCACTTGTGATTTTTCTTTCTTTTTCTGTTTGTTCTGATTGAAACTTGTGAGTTGTTAATCAAACATATAGAAAAGAAGAAGTAGGCCAACATATTATTTTCTCGAAGATTCATAGGAGAAAAAACAAGTTTAATTTGGACAGACCGTCATCATTGAATTATTATATTGAGAAATTCACGTGAATAGAAAATTCATTGTCAAATTTTCAAATATCACAAGATTATTTTTAATTTTTTCTTTGTTTAAAATCTTGATTAAATACCAACAGATTTAGATGGACTATAAAATAATTTTTTAAAATCTTAATCGAATATCACGTGATTTTTTTTCCAATCATTTAAGATCCTAATTGAATACCAATGAATTTTTTATCAAAAAATAATACATTAAAATTCTTTGAAATCCCAATCCAATATACCCCTAAAATAATTTCCTAACTTGTGTTAAAATAAAATGTTGGTACATAATTTTTGAAATGGATTATACTGATTATTAATTATTATTTTTATAAATCATGAATCATGTTAAAAACAAATAAAACCAAGTGGCTGATCTGAAAATGCAAAGGACAGGTATTCCATAGTACTGAGTGTGGTGTCATTATTCCTAACTGTTCCTTGGCCCAATTTCAATTTCAATATGCAAGACAAAGCATATTTATCATAAGCCGATTAGGGGGGGACAAAATTAGCGTCTGTGTCACTGTCACTGTCACTGTCACTGTCAGTGTCTTGTTGGACTATGGACCAAGTGAAAGAGAAGACAAGGACCACAACTACAAAATAAGAGAAGAGAAGGGTACGGCACTAACATGGGTTTCTCTGCTGCTTTAATCTTGCTGCTTCCATCGCCATCTTATCTTCAGTGCAGGGTAAGTCTTCTCATTCTACTACTTCAAATGACAAAAAGATCTTATTTTTCAATAACCTACCCAACTCTTTTTGATGGGTCCTTATTATTAGGCTTGGATTGATGGGTGTAATTGCCTCTTGCGGCCACCCTTTATGCCCAAATTGAGAGGGTATTGAAATCAATGACCTTTTGGTCCCCCTACCAAAAGGTCTCATGTTACCTTCTTCCTTAACAAGAGGTGATTTACTCGGATTACCAATTCAACAAGAACAAAGGGCACCTTAATTTCAAATGCTTATAAAGCAAACTGTCTCAAAAACTTAATTTTGATCTTGAGAACATGAAACTGTCCCAGGAGTAGTCACCAAACACTCTTATTTTTCCTTTGAGTTATCAGCTATTCTGCTTTTTCCAATTCCAATTTTTTTTTTTTTTTTTGTGGGATCTTCTCTGACCATGGTTGTTATATTATATGCAGTTTTGGATGCTTTCCTGATAATAAGCTGTTTTTTTCTTTAAACCTTGGTCATCCATATTATATTATTTGGTGATTGCATTGTAGATACCGTTCTCTTGCCTTTCACAGGTGTGCATCTGGTTTCATTTTCTATATGGGTGTATCTGGTTGGAGCATAATGCTTGCATTTTCAAAGCCATTTACTTGCTATTTCATACATGGGAAAGGGCTGTGTTTGTGGCCTTACTTATAGAATTTTTGTGCCTGCTATTTAAAGGGTGTTTCCCTAACTGATGTGATGAGAGGTTGGACAGTCTTGTCCATTTTTTTAGCCTTTTGGCCTGGCTGTTTTCTTCTTAGTTTCTCTGTTTAAGAGCATGTATATTCATGTAATCTCTTACAAAAATTATTTTCTTTTATAAAAGTTTTAGTTAAAGCATATGCAAAACCTCTTATGAATTGATTATACATTTATGTGAGAGAAAATATGAAGTAGATAATTATGGGTATTTGTCACTTTGAAATAGTAGGGACTTGGAAATTCATGTTTTTTGGTACAGTATACATTATCATTTTGTTTAAAAACCATGAAATTTTTATGAATGGAAGAGGATAAGGATTATGGATGGAGAGAGAGAAAAATAATATGTTAAGGGAGTTTGAATGTCACTTCAGTTTTCCAGCCTTATTATTTTGATTTATGCCTAGTGATTTCGTCTTGGGAGTCTAATGCTCCTTGAATGGTTCGTTTTGTTTGCAGAACTCTGTACAATCAACATTAATAATCTATTGCGAGTGAAAAGACCACTTAGAGCTCTTATTCCAGAATTTTGTGAGATATGTTACAATAGTTTTGACATTCTTAGTCATTTGTGCTTCATTTCCCTGTTGCCTGGAATTCATGGTGTAAGCTGTTTGGTTTTTGAAGAGAAGGGAAACCAGGTACACCCTCTCCTCCTTTGCCTGATTTCGGATTTGTTGTGGAAGGGTTTAAGAAGAAAAATTAAATAAATGGCGGGGTTGAACTCATTGCTTAATTTATACTTACTCTTAATTCTGTAACTACCCACTGACTGGAGCACTGAGTCGGTGTGACTGAATCAACTCAAACATTTGAAAGATTCTAACCCAGGGAGAGCCATGTATAATATTAAAGATTGGATAAGTATGGATTGTTCCTTTGTAGAAAAAAAGAGTACTTAGCTGCCAACTGTTTTTCCGGTTTCAACTTGTGTACTGCATAAACTGCTTAGTAGTATTTAAAGCCAACAGTGCATGTAATTCTCTCAGGATAAATGGAGAAAAGGGAAAATGATAGTTATTGCTACTCGAGTTTGAATATTTGATAGTTGTGAAAATAATGTTGATAAATTAGTATGGTAGTTTCAGAAAAGTCCCTGGAAGTTCATATCTCAGTTAAATCCCATATTTCTCTTATCTGCTTTCTTTGCCAGTTGAGATGGTTCCCATTTTTGTTTACAGAAAGATGTTTGGTTGGGAGAATATTTATTTTTGAATATTTTCCCCTGCCATTATCATTTCTCTAACTTCCATGATGTCCGTTTTTGCTGGTTTTATTCTTCTTCCTAAGTTTTCCATTTCTCTTGGAATTTCCAAACCTTCATGGTTGGGAGGCTTCTGTTTGGCATCTTTGTTGGGCTTTCTAGACTACTTTTGCAAATAATAATAATAATAATAAAAAAAAAAAGAGTCCTTTTAAAGTGTAGCTAATAATTATATATATACTCCTCTCTACATGTAGTCAAGCCTGTATCCCCATTCATTTGGCACCACAACCACAACTTCCTCTTCTTGGTGCTCATGGTGCTAATTTATAAGTATCTGACAGACACGGGAATTAAGGGGTCCAAACCTTTTAAAGTTTACACAATCACACTAGGAGATTTAAATAAATAAAGGATCGTGGGGTTAGTTAATATTTTAGTTAGGCAGTGTATTATTCTGACAGTTACTATATCGATTGTAAGTTATGATTTTGTAATAAGAGGACATATCCTCAATTAGGGAGAGGTAGGCAGATTATGTGAAAAGTCTAGGGCTGAGAATATTTTCTCAGAAGAAGGAGAATGCTCTTGGAGATGGAATACATCTTTTGTTGTTGTATTCTACAAATCTGTGAACAGTGTATTATAGAAAGTTACCAGTTTTTGTCTATATTTGCTTTAATTCGATCAGTAACAGAACCAGGGTTGTATCATTTTCTCTCCTCCATTCAGTTTTTTTTTTTTTTTTTTTTGGAAAAATCCTGGCATAGCTTCAGTCTTCCATTTTCTTGAATCTTGTAAAGAACCAATTCAACCCAAAAGTTTAAGCTGTTGGGTAAGGCTATATTAATTGTTTTATATATATCTCAACATGCCCCCTTACACGAGAGCCCACTGGGCTTGAAGGGTGGACAATGCACAGGCCCTGTGCGAACAAAGAAATTCCACTTGAAAGAAAGTGGGGGGCGGCGAGTATCGAACTCGAGACACGAGGCTATGATATCATGTAAACAACCAATTCAACCCAAAAGCTTAAGCTGTTGGGTGAGGCTATATTAATGGTTTTATATATATCTCAACAAATCTCATGCATAAAAGATGCTGCAGTTCTAGGTACATTTCTGTGGGTATATTGAAGTGTAAAGTATTTTGATTTCAACTTTTCAGCTCAATATCACTGGAGAAGTATAGATTTTTATGGAATTCATTCGTATATGGATTTAGGTGTTTGAATTAAAAAATTTGTGGTCAAACTTAATTGAAGCTTACTATGTTAAATCTTATTCTTGATTCATTCCACAAATATGTGGAATCCTTTCAGTTTAGAATTCCATTCCCATCATAGCTGAACAGTGAAGGTACAAAGATTAACATATGCTTTATAAAAAAATTACGCATATTGTGTCTGATGTAGCAAGTATCAATTCACGATACCCAGCATGTTTCTTTTAAGAATGTACATCTAATTATATATAGATTTGATCCATTTCACTGAAATTGTTAATCTGCTACAACACTCTTTACGATTTGGGACATAGGCTCGGAATGAAATGTATCAATCTAGTTACTGTGTAAATTAGCCTTCAACATCAGCAAATGTTGATTGGACTTGTTATTCTCTTTTTCTTCCCCCCTTGTTATCTAATGTTATTTCTTTCTTGGACAACGTCAATAATGAAACATAATTTTCCTTTAGGAAGATGCATGAATTCTCTACTGTTGATGGCTTTTTGGAGATAAGCGAATGCATGGCAGAGATGATTAAGTACGTGGCTAATGAACCATCTGTTGGACTTTTCTTTATCCAACATCATGCTCAAAATGCAGTGCCCAATGTCAACAAAGTTAATAAAAATCTTGTTGAGAAGTCACATGAAACAAGTTTGCACACGGAAGATTTGGAGGACTCTGTCATGATGGTTAGATCAATGAAAGATTGTGGATTTCCGATAGCCGATGAGATGATTGGAGAGATTAAAAAATCTCTGGTAACTATGACAACTAAACAACCAAAAAAAGGGTTAATCCATCCGTCGGCATCAATTTCTCAGACAGAAAGAGCTAGTTTTTGGGGTAATTCTGCATTTTATCCTCAGGAGGGCAATGAAAAAAGGAGTAACTATTTTTCAAATGTCTTAAAGTCAGCAAAACAGAAAGCTACCAGTCTCAAGTGGCCACAGTCTGATGCTAAGGGATCAATAGACTCCGAGGGTGAGAAGCCACAAATGATGTACCCAAATTTGCCATTATCAGTAACATCTGTTGGCACTGCTACATCTTTACAGGATACTGAAACTGATGAGTTGCCCCTATCAAGCCACGTCGAAGATGAGTCTCAACAAGAACAGACTGATGATATTAGCGTTAAGTTATTGTCAGTATCAGAAATATATGATGACTTCAAAGCTAATAAAGAAGCCAAACTAGAGGAGTGGCTGGAAGGAACTAGCAACCTTGATGATAATTGTGGTACAGGTAATGAGGAAAGGTGTTAGCTCGGATACACTTTAATACAAAGCTTCTGCCTATATTTACTGTTGTATAATATCTAACTGTATCTAATTATAATGCTGTAAAATGTTATTTGAACAAACATGATACTGTATGGGGTTAATCACATATGATACTGCATTCCTTCTACCTGAAATTTCAATATTGATATCCTTATAGTTAAGGAGCTTTTCAAGAATGATGAGAAGTTTAGACTTGGAGCTTTCAGTTCAGTGTTGATTTAGAATAGATATAGTATATGCTAGCTTGCAGCATCCTAAGGTATTTTGCAAGTAAGAGACCATCTTCAATTTATTGATCAAATGCACCAATGATGAAACCTGGAAAACAGTTGGTGCTTTTTTTTTTGACTCGGTGCCGTGTACCATCTTCTCCAACTAAGCTAAATGAATAAAAGCACAAGAGTCACACCAAAATTCCGAGCGAGTGGCACATTGATTGATAAAGTATATATGTAATGTATTTTTAGGCATATATCACGGATTGTGCACCCTTCAATTGAAGGGTTGCCACCCTTAAGGGACGTAACATTGTTGGTGGGTTGAGAGGGGTGGGTCACGAGCCACAAAATCTTTGACAGTAAAATCTTATGGGGAAATTGTCAATTTCATTGATTGAATAACGATACATGTACAGAGTTCAATCTCACGTGAACCACGTAAATCTTGAAATGAATGATTAATAAAAATTAATTATGAATTTATACTATACGTTAAAATATTTTAATCGGAGTATGGATGTATTATTATTATTTTTTCATTATTAAGAATTTCTCCTTGGCTACAAATGGTTAAAATAAGATTTTAAGGAAAATGTTTTTTTTTTTTTTTTTTTTTTTTTTTATGATTTGATAACAGCTTAATTTAAGAAAATCATTATAGTTTTTAAATATTTTCTTAAGAAACTGTCAAAAATATTTTTTATACCAGAATAAGTTATTTGTTTAAATTAGCTATTTTGATGTTATACTTACAACCTATTTTCGTTTACAACTTCTTACAACCATATCTTAACCGTTGATTTCCGTTAATCAACGGTTAAGATTTTAGTAAATCAAATTTATTAATTCGCAATAAATGACAACCGTTGATCGGCGGAAATCAACGGTTAAGATATGATTGTAAACGAAAATAGGTTGTAAGAATAACCTTCCCTTATTTTTTAAACTTCTTGATAGAGCTTTTTCTATTTAAAAAAAAAACTTATTTCTCTAAAATAAACTATTAACAAATATGTTATTATTAAATAAGATTATCAACCAATAAATTTTTTTAATTATTAAAGTTTAATTTATTATATTTCAATAATGTTTATAAAAGGGAATTATTAACCATTGTTATAACTCAATAATTGTTTTAAACATTTTCTATCTCGAGTTGAGTTATAATTTAATTTAGTTAACGACCATGCGATGTTAGTTATTTAAAATGGAAGAACAATATTTATTTATTTTTTTCGGTAAACGAAGAACAATATTTTAACTACGTTATAAAATCACAAGTCTAAAATCAATATATCAACTACATTAGCTTTATCTTTTGTATTAATTTAAAATTTTACTTAAATTAAATTTTTAATAATTTATTCCTTAATGTATTATACAATATTAAAGAGAAAAACGTTTATTCTTTTAAATGACAAAATTTTGTATCATTTTAGATCCTAATCGTTGATTTCCATCAATCAACAGTTAGAATTTATTTAATTTTATTATGAATTACTAATTAATTAATAAGTTTGACCCAATAAATCCTAATTATTGATTGACGGCAATCAACGGTTAAAATCTAAAATAACATAAATTTATATCCTCATAAGCACGAACACTCAACTTTTTGAAAAAATTGCGTATCCGACACATACACGTTCCGACACGCGATCAACTCTCCGACACGTTTTTTCGACACGCAGTCAATTTTTTCCGACACGCGGTCAACGTTCCGACACATTTTTTTTAGTCTTAATTTTAGTTTGTTAACTAAATATAAAAAAAAATAATTTATACATCAATTTTTTTCTGTTACGAAATTTGACATGAAAAATTAACAAAGTACGAAAAATTATTTTTGTTTATATTTATGTTATGAAATTTGAATATTGATTGGTTATATGACTTATTGTGAACTGTTATATGTATTAAATATAAATTATATTATATATATTAAAAAAATTATTTAATATCAAAACGTGTCCCAACGTGTCGAAATATGACATTTTTTAGAATTAACGTGTCGGCGTGTCGTGTTCCGTGTCCCGTGTCGGTGTCGATACATCATAGGTTATATCTTTTAAAAGGATAAATATTTTCTCAATATTAAAATCATATTTAATTATCAATGATTTAGTTATGAGTAAAGTGTGTGTAATTTTAAATGATGTAAAGTTGTGTTATTTTAAGATAGAGAAAGAGATAGACAAAGGAGGAGAGAGAGTTGACAAAAAAAAAATAAAGGTGTGAGTCCCATTTCTTTGTGAGAGTGGAAGAATATAAATTATGTCAGTTAAAAGAATAAACACTTTTCCCTAGTTATATTCAATTACAGTAAAATCAATGAAACAAAATCAGCAACTTCTTTTAAAAACATGGGGACAAAATTTCTCATTGCATAGAAGTCTCTTCTTATGTCATCCTCATTTTAACGTTCGTGCTACCGTTTTTTTATTCTTATTTTTTTTAAAGTGAATCTCACTCCTTTCTCTCTCATTAAAAAAATCTCTCGCGCAGCCGAAGTTGCAAGCCCTAAAAAAAAAAGCAATATATAAAAAAAAAATCCAAAATATTAAAATAACAAATGAGTTTTGACTTTCTCAACTCTTACAAGCATAAAAAATGACATTGACGTAGCCTATTTTATAGTACAGACACATAAACATTTAGTGGTGAATTATTATGACATCTGTCATCACCCCTACACTTTAGTTCAAAACTTTTGACCATATATAAATCCACACGTCACATAGTGCCATTACACTTTCAACTTTCTTACCCCACTCCTGACTCGTGAGTCGTGACTCCATCACCAACTCCTTCTCCTAACAAAATCTTAAAACCGTTTTTCCTTCAAAATTAAAAATAAATAAATAAATAAAAAATCACCGCTGCCATGACTCGACTCAGAAAACTCGGTGCCGCCGTCGGAGCGGGAATCGCCACCGCGTACGGCGGTTCTGTGATCCTTTATAATCCTCAAATCTCTGCCAACGACTACGGAGGCGGCTCCCGCCTCGACGCACTCCGGAAGAGGGTGCACGACCCGGACGCCGTTTTTCCGTCCAGGGAGGTGCAGCAGTCCGCGCTCATGGCCGCCGGCAAGGAGAACCCTCTCGATGTTCTCGTCATCGGTGGCGGCGCCACCGGAGCCGGCGCCACGCTCGACGCCGTGACCCGAGGACTACGGGTTGGGCTCGTGGAGAGGGAGGATTTCGCTTCCGGAACTTCTTCTCGATCCACGAAGCTCCTTCATGGAGGTACACAATGTGTTCATGAGTGGTTGCAATTGCAATGAATTACGCGTTACTGATTCTTGAGCAGTGTTGGATATTCAATTTTCGTCGTTTTGTTTGTTAGATGTTATTAAATTGCGGACGCATTCGCGTGATAATTTAAAACCTTCAATTATCACTTCGACGTGAATGGATCAATATGGTTTATTTTTTTATCCTTATCGTTGCTATTATTTTCTTTTGTTGTTTTCATCATTTAGACATTTACTCAAATATTTGGTTGGATAAAAGGGTAAATGCTATGGCAGTACTCTTTTAGCAGGAAATGCAACGAACATTGTGGGAATCTTGTAGGCATGTAATATTTGTTTGCATGATGAATATTGATGTGGTTCTTTGAAAGAAAATTTGGGTAGAAATATGATTTTATATGAAATATAGTTAGTAAAATAAAAAGCATCAAGTGTTACAAGTAAAGAAGTCAAAGGTGAGTTTTCATTTGTCATAGAAGCTTGAGAAACATCCTTGGATATGATTTTTAACATAAGATTTGCAAAGCCCTGTGTGCTCTTGACAATGTAGCTACCAAACTGCCGGAGTTCATTTCTCTAGGGGCAACGGTTTATTAAATTTATGCGTTATTATATATTATTTTTTTTCTAAATTCTTGATCTAAAATAATATTTCAACGTATTTGTGGACTATTAGGTGTTCGTTACCTGGAGAAAGCTGTCTTTAACCTTGATTATGGACAATTCAAACTAGTGCTTCATGCACTTGCGGAGCGTAAAAATGTTATTGACAATGCACCACACCTATGCCATGCATTGCCATGCATGACACCGTGTTTTAATTGGTTTGAAGTAGTGTACTACTGGATGGGCTTGAAAATGTACGATTTGGTGGCAGGAAAACAATTGTTGCACTTATCAAGGTATTATTCTACAAAAGAGTCTGTTGAGCTCTTTCCCACTCTGGCAAGGGAGGGAAAAGATAGAAGCCTGAGGGGAACAGTTGTTTATTATGATGGGCAGATGAATGATGCACGACTTAATGTTGGATTGGCTTGCACTGCTGCTTTAGCTGGTGCAGCAGTGCTGAACCATGCCGAGGTTGTATCCTTGCTGAAGGATGATGCTGGAAAACGGATAATTGGTGCACGAATTCGGGATAATTTAAGTGGTAACATGTCCTTTTTATTTCTAGCTGTTGCCAGATTGTTTACCATTTTTTTAAAAAAAATCAGAAAATTGATAAGTTGACAAGGGTAATTTAGGATAATATATCTGACCAGTTTCAGGAGACTGGGATATTGTATGCAATACACACACAATCTGATGAAGCATTGTCCTTAAATGGATTTTTAGATTGAACTGCATATTCACTGCCAACCTCCCCTGCATCCCTGCTGCCATAAAAGGGTAAACATATCTGCAGCTGGGGTGGAACTATTGGTCTTACGTAAAATCAAATGTGGAACTCTAGAGCTTTGCATCAAGGATAGTTAGAAATAGTTTTTATTTAAATTTTCTTATGTTGTTATTTTTATGCAGAGGTTGGTTCACATGCTAAACAATTAATCAATGTCAGCTGGCAATTAATATACTATTTAATGCTAATTGAAAGAGGAATAACTTCCCTGTCTGTGTGGGGTGTGTGGTAAAGTAAATACAGCTTATTCATGAATGTGTACAATACAGTTGGGGGAGCACATCTTAATTTGTGAGTTTTAAGAATCAAAAGTAAATTTTAGTTATTTATAAGTTGATAGTTAATTAATTTTTTTTGTTATTTTACATGCGGCAGGCAAAGAGTTTGATGCATATGCAAAAGTAGTTGTGAATGCGGGTGGGCCATTTTGCGACTCTGTAAGGAAAATGGCCAACAACAATGCAAAAGAAATGATTGCTCCCAGCAGTGGTGTACATATTATACTCCCTGATTATTACTCTCCAGAGGGAATGGGCTTAATTGTTCCTAAAACCAAGGATGGACGTGTTGTTTTCATGCTGCCATGGCTGGGACGAACAGTTGCTGGAACTACTGATTCTAGTACTAACATTACTTATCTTCCAGAACCACATGAAGATGAAATACAATTTATATTGGATGCTATAACTGATTACCTTAATGTTAAAGTATGTTATACCTGCCCATACAGATGACTATTTTAACTCTCTTTTTTCCCTCTTCTCTGAAGAATTGGTTATGGACAGAACATAATGATGTCGTTTGATTCATGTTGCCTACCCCACTTAGTGGGAAAAAGGCTTTGGTTGTTGCCATAGCAACTTTTTCGACCTTAATTCTGATGTTAGATTCAAAATAAGAAGATCTCGTAGATATTGCTTGTCTGGAAATATTTTGCATTGTCTTAGCATAAAAGAGAGAGAGAGAGACAGTATTTCGCATCATATATGCGATGGTTTCATTATTAAATAATTCAATTTGTTCATTGTAGGAGCCCCCCTCCCACTTCTTTTTTAATTAACTGGGTCTGTCCTTGTATGTCTTGATTAAATGCAAGTGAGGAGTCACACAATCTAGATGCGTTTTTTTCTAGAAAAAAATAATAATTGCATTTTCCCTTCTACACTGTTTGCTAATGAGGAATAAATAATGGTGCAAAAATTTTAGGTACGCCGCTCTGATGTTCTTTCTGCTTGGAGTGGCATTCGCCCATTAGCATCGGACCCAACTGCAAAAAATACTGAGAGTATCTCAAGGGATCACATTGTCTGCGAAGATTACCCGGGTTTGGTCACCGTCACTGGTGGCAAGTGGACTACCTACCGTAGGTAATTATTTAATGGGCAGATGAAATTTCTTCGTTTAAGTTTGTTCACATGTGGTTTCACTAACTAGGCATAATGGCATGTTATTAATCATGTTGGTAATCTAGTTTCTCTATTTAATGAGTAATAATTAATTATTTTCTAACTTCTACTATTTTACTCATTGTTCCCTTCATTCTAGCACAGAGTGTTCCTAACGCACATCAATATTATTCTGATTACAACGTGTTTCAGTATGGCAGAAGACGCTGTTGATGCAGCTATCAAGTCTGGAAAGCTGACCCCCTCCAGTGGATGTGTGACCAACAATTTCCAGATTGTTGGTGGTGAAGGGTGGGAGCCTTCTTCTTTTACAGTTCTTGCTCAACAGTATAAGCGCATGAAAAGTACATATAGTGGTAAAGTTGTTCCCGGGGTAATGGATTCTGCTGCGGCAAAGCACTTGTCTCATTCATATGGAATATTGGCTGAGCGTGTGGCTGCCATTGCTCAGGTTTTCTTATATTACTGTATTTTTCATATTATTCATTTCTTTGAGCAACTGATTTAAATGCATCTTAGTATAAAATAGATTGGATGATTTTGTACCATATGTGATTTGGTGTCATGTTAGCAACTTTTCAGTTACTACTGGGCTGCTCACATTCAAATAAGAACTCAGTGCTCTGCTTTGTATTTTTCTGTCCATTTGTTTTTTTTGTTTTTGTTTTTTGGGGTTATAGCCCTTATGGTCTGTATAGTTTTGTTTCAAAATAGTATAATGGGTTTCTATTTTGGTTGAGTTTGTATATATTATTTCAGAATTTTAAAGATTGAGCCAGACTTTGCCTGAGTATTGAATAACATTATCTGTACCTGTTAGGGATATGAGATAAGGAACCAAATCGGAAACACTCTTGTATGCTGCCGGATTTCATAATTATGTACCAAAGAAGACATTTGAACATAGACATGTAGTGCTACGGTGGGACATAGCCATTCAACGTGATGTCATTATTTATGTCTGATATGTTTAGTCTTACAAATGTGGTATGAAGTTATGAACTGATCTCTATTTTGGGATGCATCATGGTATAGGATAACTGATGATAGATGGAGTCCACTATTTCATTATTATTGATGTTAGTGTATATAATTTTTCCAATTCACATGGCTTCTTAATCATAGTCTGGTTGTGATTTGTGAAAAACACTGGAAATGGGATTCAATTTTATACTTTGACCTTGTTATTGGTGATTGTAAATAAATATTTATTTCAATTCTAGTGTGTTTTTTTTTTTTGGGAGAGGGGGAGAGTGGTGGTGGTGGTGGCAGCTGTTATTGCAAAATCCTCTTTTGGGTAAATTATGATAGTCAAGTTTAACACATTAAAACCTAAAAGTTGTGCGTTTTAGTTGCTGCATTATCTAACAATAAGGATCTTTGTTGTATGATTATTTATTTCCCTCTTTTTTTTTTGGTGAAAATTTATTTCCCTCTTAACAGGCTGCATGCATGTTATAGGAGTTCTAGTCAGCTTCTTTGTTTCATATATGGTGAGAGCTAAATTAATTCTGTGTTTTGTATTTTAGAATGAAAATTTGGGTAAGCGACTTGCCCATGGTTATCCATATCTGGAGGCAGAGGTAGCTTACTGTGCTCGTAATGAATATTGTGAATCTGCTATTGACTTCATTGCAAGGAGGACGCGTCTTGCTTTCCTTGAAACTGATGCAGCAGGAAGGGCATTGCCACGTGTGATTGAAATATTGGCAAATGAGCACAAATGGGACAATTCAAGGCAGAAGGAAGAGTTGCAGAAGGCTACAGAATTTTTGAAGACTTTTAAGTCCTCAAAAAATGCTCAGTTCCATGATGGGAAACACACTTAGTAAGTGCTGTTGATCATACATATGAATTATATATTAAATACTGCAGTTGTTATATCAAATAGTTCATCTTTTTTTCTTTTTTAAATTAAGGGGTAAACTGATAGAGAGTTATTATATAGTAAAAAAAAAAACATCACTCCCCGTTTAACCCGACTAGCAAGTGTGGAGTGGAGGGGTATAATTGCAAAGAGGTGTTATAAAAAAACAGTTTTACCACTGCTCTGATTTGCTCCCTCTAGTTATTATATAGTAATTCCTACTTAATTTTTCTCAGGTTCTGGACTTGAACGACAAGGAAGTTTTTCACCTGACAAACCTTTTGGTATTCATTTTCTCTTCCGCGGGTCAATAGGTGACTATGCTTGCCATGGAGAGTAGCTAAACGCATCTTTGAAATCAACTCTTCCACCAATTTGTCTTACGGTTACCTGCCAAAATAACGTTTGCAAGTTGGGTAGATTGTATTGCACAGTTACCTACCAAAATAATTTTTCTTGAGATTCATTAGACCCTGTTCCTCTGCCAAAGTTGTCCATGAAGGAAGTTAAGGAATCGAGGGTTACGTTTTAATTTACCTATGATCTTTGTACCCACCCCCCCTCTCTTTTCTCTCCATAATACTTGATTTATATCTGGTTTTTTTATCATTACGGCCTTGCGGGTTATATAGAATTGACTCAATAAGTCTCTCAATACTTCGTTAGTATTTTTTTTATGTTATAAAAAATAATTTTATTTCCTAAATACATAAAAATGTGAGGTTCATATTTATTTATTTTCTCTTTCTTCTCTTCACATGATCTCATATGAGTTTTACACACTTTTATGTATATGTAGAAGATAATTTTATTTCTTACAATGAGAAATATTAATTCCTATTTTTATTATGATATTCAAGGATGCACTTCTCAAAATTGTTATTGTGCTTCTGTCAAACAGTGTCCAATACTTGGAATCCTTTAGGTATTCTCAATGGTATTTTACAATTATATATGCGAAAAATATTTATAACGGTGAAATTAATTAGTAATAATATTGTTAGTAACTTTAATTGGTTGTTATAATATTCTATCCCTTTAAAGAATAATTATTTTAGTTAAATTTTATATTTTATTTAATATTTACATTAAGAAAAAAAATCTCTCACCTTCTTTCACCATAGTTTCTATTTAGAAAATATAATAGTTTTGCCTAAAATGATATAATTCTAATTACTTTAAAAGGATAAATACTATTCTCATTATATATATATATACTTTAAAAAGACAAACACATAGCGATCTGTCTGGACATCTCTGTCTCTAGGACATAATATTGGTGTTGTCCGTGGGGATCGATAAACTTCAATTCCCACCAAATAGTGGTGAATGTGCATCAACTGCTACGACAACCAAATGGATGCAGAGTGCATAAAGGCAGCCATCGCAGCAGGTAAGTACCAAATCCACTGTCATGAAAGCCGAGCAAGAGTCGTCTGCTGTTACCCTAAGGGGGCGTTTGGTAGAGGAGAACTTTTTTTTTACTAAGGAAATATAATTACTTGAGAAATTGTGGGAAAGTAAGTTTGCTGGTAAAGTTGAAAAGAAGTTGTTTGGTAGGATGAAATATTATCAGAAAAATTGATTAAAGTTTTTTAAGTCTATGTTTGGTAACTTTGGCTGAGGATAAAATATTGATGGAAAAATGATAAAAAATTATGAAAATAATCCCTTATTAATTTTTGAATCGCAAAACAAGTAGCCCTTGCGTATGACTGTTGTGGCCTTGTAATGTCATGTGGAAAGTCTGATAGTATCAGGATGCCTGAGCCTTTAAAGTTTCCACCTACTAAGAAGCCTCAAAGAGAACGAAGTAGGGGCAAATCATCTGGAAGGTTGAAAATGAGTTTCGAGACCGTGTGCGCAACGGAGACTATGGCAATTAGCTTGCAGAGATGTACAATCAATCCTTTGGAAGGGGAGTGGAACTTTCGCGGTACTTTATCTCTTGATGAGGGTATCTCAGTCAAGTCCTTCTTTCTTTTTTATCTATTTACCTGGTTATATTACAATACCACATCAGGATTGGCATTATTGCTGTGTGTTTCTCGTTCATTTTTTCAAACAAAAGTGAAAGGATGGGCAAATGAGTTTGCTACCATGTTTTTTAAATGCCTTGAATCAAACGTGGTCAACATAAAATGTCATGGTCTGATGTTGTGGTATCTCATCAAAAAAACCCGAACCAAACGCCACCTAAAAGCTTTGTGCATTTTGTCAGCCATCAAAGCAGCAACATCAAATTTATTTTCATATATTGTGGGCCCTTACGAGAGAATTAGAACATCAAAATAGCATCATCAAGATTGCTTTCATGCACCAAATATATGGTGGGTTTTAACGAGAGAATTAGAAAGGAGGTTGAATTCATTAAATATTCATATTGTTGATACAAACAAAAAGCCACCCGCAGGAACATGATTTTTGGGAAACTATTCAGAATCTCTTTTTAATGTTTTACTTCCTTTTTTCCTTCTTCTTTTTTCCATTAAAAGCCATTTCTAGAAAAAATCAACTCCTAATCATTTTATCAAGAACCATCGTAGTGGCAACAACAGCCACCTCGGCAATCATCGTCCAAGATTCGATGAGATTGGCCACTGATATCATCCCCAACTACTCCTTCGGCTGCATCAATGCCAGCCATCTTCCGACGGTGGGTCCATTCCAACACTAGGGCTTGTGGGCTTGGGCCACGACATCATATTATTGTTGTTTCCTCTTACTTACTTCACGGGTTTGGACCTGAAGCTACCATTGGAGAACAGCTTGATCCATAGTAGTGGCACCCAATTGGACCTACATCGGAGGAGTATCAGATCATCACTGTCATTGGACCTACATCGGCAATAATTCAGATGACAAGATGATTTTTTTTTACTTTAATTTGATTTATCAATTTTCAATTATACAATAGCTTGCTTGGACTAATGCTTTTGTCTTGGATATCGATAATATAAGTAAAGGATCAGTGATTCTGAAGCTATATGAAGGAATTGATCTCGTTAATTGTTTGATTGGTGCGAGGCCCACTTGCATAGAAAGAAGATTCCAAAAATTCAAAATTTGCTTGACGCGGGGCCATAAAATTTGCAATTTAAAATGGATAAAAGGCGACGTGGGGTCCACAAGAAATATATAAAATATAAAGTTTGATGTTGTTGAAGACGTGAAAACACAGAGTGCATACACTAGGAATGCATCAACGAGAAAATTTCATTAATCCTTTTTTGGAAGCCTAACAAAGAACTTACACTCTAGTGACACTTGTTGGCATCAGTTAATACGGACCTCTCCCGCCCTTCAAGATATCAGTTCAAACAGGGAGATAAGTTTTTTTATATTAACTTTATTTCGGATAATATTATTCTTAATTTCACAAATGACATATCACGGTTGCATGAATGACTCACTCATGGAAATTATGCTCTTAATTATCGGCATTGTTGAGTATAGTTGTAATACCCCATATTTTTATTAACTTTAACCTTATGCCTTTTAGTTAATTTGAACATTTTTCCGAGGGTAGAATGTAATATCCCATATTTTCTTTTAATAAAATAATAATAATAATAATATAATAATAAATATTATTGGATAATAATGATATTTAGTATTTTTGTAATTAATAATATTGGTATTTAATATTTTTAATTAATGAGTTAATAATAGTTATATTAATAAGAGGTAAGATAATAATAGTAATATTATTTGATTTATGTGATAATATATAATTATATATATATATATATATATATATATATATATATATATATATATGGGTTAGGATCATTTTACACCAGTGTAAGTTATGATAAAATTATGATTAATTGATTTATTAATTGATTGATGATTTATGTATTTATGTTGGATTAGTAAATTGTTTAGATATGATGAGTCAACAAACAAAAATTGTTTAGATATGATGAGTCAACAAACAAAAATTGTTTAGATATGATGAGCCAACAAACATAAATTTGTTTAGATATGATGAGTCAACAAACATAAATTGTTTAGATATGATGAGTCAGCATTGAGTCAGTAATGTGTAAGCCCTAAACTTTAACTATAAATAGAGGTCTAGCCTAACCAAACCAATTCACTCTTCAACATTTCTCCTCTACTATTCTCTCTTCTTAGTTCAAAAACTTAGTTTAATTTATTTTATATTCTTCTGATTACCAACCGGTTCTCTGCCCCAAATTACTCTTTTCTTCTAGAAGTTAGCGAAAACGGAGATCAGGTAATCTTAATCTCTAGGTGGTTGTAGATTTGTTGTGTATGAAATTTTATTGGGTGTCCTATTATTCAGGTAGTTATATGTTTGATATATGTAATCTCAATCCCTAGGAAAATTTTAGGATGTTTTCATATATTATATGTAACCCTTAGGGTATTTAAATTAAATTATTTTAATCTCTAGAAATTAATTGGATTAATTATTACATTTTGGCTTTACTCTAATAGATGTGAATATTTGAATTATGATTTGGAAAAATTATGATATGATGATTGGATTTAGATTTTACTCTTTGAATTCTGATTTCGAAAATTATGATATAATGATTGGATTCGAGTTTTACTCTGTTATATGTTGAATATGAAAATTATGATATTCTTGGATAATGGATTTGAAAATTATGATGAATTAGAAAATTATGATATTCTTGGATAATGGATTTGGAAATTATGATGGATTTGGAAATTATGATGGATTTGGAAATTATGATATTCTTGAAAAAAATGAATTTGGAAATCATACTCTTGATTAAATTGATGTGGAAATCATGAAAACTATTTGACAATTATGAGAATCGTGACAAGATTGAATTGATTGTATGTGATTGAATAAATTAATAGTGGGAGGATAGCTTTGGGATGGTACCTCCCAAGGTGATGAACACAATTTTTGGGCTTTATGCCTCCGATGTGAAAAAGATTATATCCGTTCTTTCCAAAGTGGTGTCTGGCAGGGTTTCCTGGGATACTAGTAGCAACTTTGGGAAGAGGTGTGCACACTAGGAAGATGTGAATTGATTATGGCCAATGTGATTTGTTTGTGACTGGCAGGGTTTCCCGGGTCTACCATGGTTCTCTTCCCACTAAATATAATGAACTTAAACATTATTAATGAAATTTGTTATTTGATTTGATTATGAAGAATGTCATTGAGTTGTAAATATTATCATATTATGATTAATGTTGTGCTAAATATGTTAGTTGATAATTACCAAATACATTAAATGAACTTAATAAAGATAAATATTATATAATGGAATTTTGATTATTATATTGATATTTGATTTGATTAATGTGGAATTGATTTGAACACTATTTGATATTTGATTTAATTTGTTTTTAATTACATTAATTGTATTTTGATTGGGATTACCAGCTTTGCTGACTTTTGTGTTTGTTTAACTGCAATGATCCTTCACGGGGGAGCAGATTTTCAGTGAAGCATGTTGCAAAGGATGAGGCTAGCTGTGGGCAGTGAGGATCACGACTCGGATATTTCTAGCTGTCATAAATATTATGTATAAAAAAAAAACTGTAGTCTTAGATTTTTATTTGAATGTAATAGAGTTAGCCTTGCACTTGTCCCTGTACAAGTGCGGCGGTAACACTTCCCAAATTTGATTATTTTGAACTTCCGCTGTTATTTATAAAATTATTGAATTTATTTATGCTATTATAAATTGTTAGAATTTGGGGTGTTACAATAGTCAACCATCAATTAACATTTTTCCAAAGCAAAAAAAAAGGGTAATTGATGAGCAGGATAGTAAGAATGTCGAGGAGCCAGATTGAAACTAAATGTCGGCTTCATCATATATTGCCTAATAAACTCGGGCCACGGCCCGAGGACAGACCCGATCCAAAGGAATATGTCGTCTGCATCAACAATGCAATACCTAACTCGGCATCTACACCAGACCAGCCAACCCGACCCAATCTAGGTCGGAACTAACTAGTCGCAGCCATCTCCGGACGTCAACAACCATTTAACCCATAATGTTATCCACACCATCTTGTGCCGAATGGACGAGATGGAAAATAGGTACCTCACTAGAGTTAGATGGACATATATGGAGAGACGAACCAAAAGCCTGGTATCCGATATAGCAACCCGGAACAAGGTTGAGACCATGGTGGAGTTCAAGAATGGGTGCAGAGGCAGATATGCCAAGATCATGAGAATGATAGAAATAAAGGCGATAGATAAGACCGGCATCATGGTGACAATAGTTAAGACGATCGAGGTCGAGATGATGGAATAGCAACCTGGAACATGAGATACACTATGATGAAAACTCATGAAAATTATGGGCATAAAAAAGACCTGGCCAACTAGGCAGCAAAAGAACTGAGCTAGACCAATTACAACTAAAAGACCTAGCATGACAGGGTGAAATACAAAGATAAAATACTCCCAAAAACTTAGCTCAACTAGGAATATCATTAATATTATTCATGCTATTTATTATACATGCTGCTAATTATGGGCATATGATTTGTCATGTGAGAGCTTTTCAATCATTTCCATCCTCGACATATAAGATAAGTTATTGTCATTACTATAAAAGAAAAAAAAAAGTACTTTCAATAGGGACAAAGTTCGCTATCTGGCTCAATGGCTTGATAAAAGAAAAGAAAGGGAAACATCAAATATCCAAAAAACAAAACTGAGAAAGGACCCCAGCCTAGATGACTGGCATTACAAAGCTGACCTACCAGCATTCAAATGGGAATGATGGCCAGCAAATGTAAAGCTAATCGGCCAGCATTTATAGGCCAGGTGAACAACAACTTGTATCAAGGGTTAGATGGTCAATATTTAACTGGTTGTCATTACATTTCTGATTTTTATCCAATATTTTATACCTTGATTCGTGATAATGATATGAGCGCCCTAACAATCAATGGACGAAGTCAACTTGTAAGTGTGTTATCTTCATAATTTCAGGGTGTATAAATGAAGTCAGGGCGGTAAGCGTGCCCTCGAAATAAATATCCCGAAATAATGATCCAATAAATATATTCTGCCTCGATATGCTCGAGTGCCATAAAGGCAAGAAAACGGACATCTCCCTCGACAGTTAAGCAATATGGACTAAGAGCCGAGCTCTAAAGTAGCCCGGCCATAGCCTAAGGCTCCAAAGATAAACGGTGAAGAGGGATTCAGAGAGATCGCATTCCTTACGACATGATTGCACCCCAACCTATGATAAACGAAGAAGATGGATTTGGAGAGATCGCAATACTTATGAAAGGATTGTACCCCAATCCGAAATAAACGATAAAGACAAATTGGAGAGATTGCAATCCTTATGACAGGATTGCACCCATATCCGAGATTAGGCTTAACTCAAGACTTATGTGAAATAAGCCAAGTCCAATAATAAAGCCACGGTATATAAAACTGAGCTCATATAATAAAGCCATCGTGAAAGAAGCAATGCTCAGATACTAAAGCATCACGGCAAGGTGAACCAGATTCGAAGAGGTGAATTTCGTCAAAATAACTCTGATCAAGTCGAAATCTGTGAAAGCTACGACATCTGAAGTCGGGCTAAAACACAAGGCGATATCATTACGAAATTTTGGCAAAACCAAATCCGAAATTCATAAAGCCATGGCGTCTAAAGCCGAGTTAAAATAAGAAGAGGGGACAATTAAATGCCTTCGTAAATAAGACTCTGCAAAAAAGCCAAGCCCAATAGCTTGAAGTCTCGGAATGCAAAGCCGGGTTGATATGAAATTGTGGAATATAATCTGCCCATACGAATAATACAACCTTGACCAGGTCAAAATATGAGCCTGACATGAGAAGTCGGGCCAGATATTATGGAAGTGTACACGACTTCTTGAAATGTAAGACTAACAAAGTCACGTTATCCGAACGCAGATCGATTTCAAAATTCGAAACAGAAGAAAAGGTCAGAAGGTCACATTCAGACCTCGGCCAAGAAAGCCAGGTCAAGCGGCAAGCACATGAGACTGGGTCCCGACCACAAACTCATATTTTGCCACATCAATAAGAAGTATTTAAACAAAAAGAACTCAAACATGACCGGAGTACCAAAACACGACATCCCAAAGTTCTAGACTGTTGGGCTAAGGGGCAACTGTAGGAACACAACCATTGAAATAGAACGAGGAAAAACAACAACCATCATAAGTTGGGATCTCGACAAGGCGATAAAAAAGGAAGATCAGTCAGCCCGAGATGGTACCTCGACCAAAAAGGTTGAGGGAGAAATACTGAAACAACATACTACGTACTCTGCTCATAAAGCTCGAAACCAAAATTTTACACAACTAGATGGTTGAATCCATATGCCATGGATAAAAGGCTAACAAGGCTCGAACTAAGAACATGGCCGACCTCTAGATACCAAGAATAGTAAAAATAATCGCGAACACAATCAGAAGCGGTGCATAGCGACCCAATTATCCCCATCAGATAGAATTAAAGCCCGACATAATATACACCCCGACAGTCCAGACATTTATACTATCGGGCTGGGGGTAACTATTATGGACCTAACATAGAAGCCCATATTCTAGAAGGCCCAAGAAGGGCTAATAACTAAGAAAGAAATTAAAGAAACATTCCTTAATTGTACTAATTCTAATACGACAACAATTGATTAAGAATTGGACCCCTGATATTTCTAAGAGGTCTAGAAGTCCACTAATGCCAGGTAACCTATCTATAATTAAGGAGTTAAGCCAATAAGGTACATACACTCAAAACCTTATCTCTCTTAGCTGTCACTCAGCACACACACCACCCTTTGGCTATGCCGTTATTATGATAGTGCATAATGATTCGCTATTCTCTAGGGTATCTCTCCCATAAGTACCTAAAAGAGGGTATCTAGATCCAATATGACATATTACTCACATGACTAGACATCTATGTCCCTAGGACAAAATATTGGCGCCATCTGTGGGAATTGTAGGAACGCAGCTATTTAAATAGAACGAGGAAAAACAACAACCTTCATAAGTTGGGATTTCAGCAAGGCGATTAAAAAGGAAGATCAGTTAGCCCGAGATGGTACCTCGGCCAAAAAGGTTGAGGGAGAAATACTGGAACAATATACTCAGTACTCGACTCACGAAGCCCGACACCAAAATTTAACACAACCGGATGGTTGAAACCATACACCACGGATAAAAGGCTAACAAGGCTCAGACTAAGAACATGGGCGACCTTCAAATACCAAGAATAGTAAAAATAATCGCGAATGTGATTAGAAGCGATGCATAGTGACTGAGCTATACCCGTCAGATAAAATTAAAGTCCGACATAATATACACCCCAACAGTTCAACACCAGACTACCGGGTTGGGGGGCAATTGTTATGGACCTGACATAGAGGCCCATTTCTAGAAGGCCCAATAAAGGCTAACGGCTAAGAGAGAAATTACAGAAAGATTCCTTAATTGTACTAATCCTAATACGACAGCAATAAATCAAGAATTGGACCCCCAATATTCCTAGGAGGCCCAAAAGTCCACTCCTGCTAGGTACCTATCTATAAATAAAGGGTTAAGCTAATAAGGTACATACCTTCAAAACCCTTACTCTTTTGGCTGTGACTGTGCACACACATTATCTTTTGGCTATGCCATTATTATGATAGTGCATAATGATCCGCTATTCTTTAAGGTATCTTCCGTATAGATACCTGAGAGAGGGTATCTAGATCCTAGATTAACAAACCAGCTTCCGCTGGACATTTCTATCCCGAGAACATAACAAGTTTCTTGTGCAAAATACTGGTGGGATGTACTTGGCTCAATAACATTTCAAATAGCTAGACGACACGTAAAAAAGGTGGTGATCAATTCAAATTCCAAGTAATATCCTTATCAATTGTGAAGTTGCACTGCAATGTGGACTTCCAGTTCAATTCTATCACGCACACTAGAAGCAATAAATTGAATATTGGACTCAATAACTTCGACTTGAGGTAACAAATTCTAATCAAAGATTTATGTAATAGAATATAATTCAGTTCTATCAGTGCACTTGAGCTAACTTATCTCCATTTACTCAGAGAGTGTAGCAGCTATCTCTGGCTTGTTCCATAAACTAGTCCCACAATTATCAGGTAGTTCAAGCTCAAACAAGACATTCTCAATAGCCGGAGCCAATTTCTTATCACCATCGTCATTATAGAAACAATATATTTTCCACGAGTAAAATAAAATGGATAAATTAATTTAATTATTAACAGTACTAAAATAAAATTTGATAAGATAAAAAAGAGAGAATGTAAGTGATAAAAAAATAAATCATAAAGGAGTTTATAAATTTTTTTGTTATTAAAATGATAAATATATATTTTTTAAAGCCCATGAATATTTTTTCATTAGCGAACAAAAGAACATGTAGGTAAGTCGATAAGATAGATAATATCAGCTATAAAGTACATTTTTAAAGGAAAAAAAAAACACTGCTTCTTCGGCCAGAAAAAAAAAATGGCAGCAGCGGCAACAGTGGCCATGGCCGCACTGTCACTGCACCGTCTCTCAAAATCACACACTCACAGTTACAGTCACACTTATTCATTTCGCACTCTCCCTCGCCTCACTTGCTCTCTCTCCTCTTCCTTAAAATTCAACATCTCCTTCGCTCCCCCTAAGCCCAAGCCCAAACCCGAGCCCGAAACCGAGGGCCCAAACCAATTTCCGGAGCCCGAAGATGTAACCGCCGGGCAGCTCCTGATCCCATGGATCGTTCGAGGCGAGGATGGGAACCTGAAGCTGCAATCAGAGCCTCCACCGAGTCTTTTGAATGCTTTGGCCACCGCCCAAACTGGTACCAAGAAGGAGAAGAAGCAAACCACGAAGAAGAATAACAACAACAACGGTGAAAAGGAAGAAAATAAGCTTCGTTCGTCGGTGCCGCTGCAGCGTTCGAAGCCGCCGCAGTATTCCAAAGCAGCACGGAGGTTCTACAACCAGAATTTGAAGGACTCCGGCACGCGCCTTAGCAAGGTTCTCGCCGCATCTGGAGGTGACTTTCTGTTATGAGTTAGTTTCTGCGGTTACAGATTTAGTTATTGGTCTTACTCTTACGAGTTAGTTTTACAGATTTATAATATTTTTTATTTTTTTTATTTTTTGTTGTGTTTAGTTGCATCCAGAAGGAGTTGTGAAGAGCTTATTTTTGAAGGCAAGGTTACGGTGAATGGTTCTGTCTGTAATACACCTCAGGTTGGAAAATTTTCTCCAAGTTAGGTTTGTTAATAGCATAATAAGCATGGTTATGCCATGATTTCATTGATCACAATTCGTGAATTCTAGTTTTGAATTGAATTGTTCGTGGCTTGCAGACTAGAGTTGATCCTGCAAAGGATGTTATCTATGTCAATGGGAACCGGCTTCCTAAGAGGCAGCCTCGAAAGGTTTATTTTGCCTTGAACAAGCCAAAAGGGTATGTATGTATATATGCATGTATGTTTATGTTGCACACGTATCCTTATGCAATTGAATTTGTATAATTTAGTTTCATTCATCTTGTCATGACTTCTTTTAAGTGATGCAATTACATTTTCACAGGTACATTTGCTCATTTGGGGGAAATGAGTCTAAATCCGTGATAAGTCTGTTTGATGATTATTTGAATAGTTGGGTATGTGCCACTTTGAGCTTTGTTGATATATGAATGATAATAGACTCTCTTTTTTTGACTCAGCGGCATTATGATTATGTACTTTGTTAATTCTGTGTTTCTACTTTACTAGTTTTGCAAAGGCATCGGATAACTCTTTTGAGATGATATATTATTTTCCCTTACTTTTACTATATCTCCTTTTGGTGATTTAGGAGGGTCTAGTTCTATATTTCTTTCCACTTCTAGTAAAATCTTATCTATCACCTAAAAACAATTTTATTTCCAGGACAAAAAGCATTCAGGAGTACCCATGCCTCGGCTATTTACTGTAGGGCGCCTTGACGTTGCTACTACTGGGTTAATTATTGTGACTAATGATGGTATATGTGTGATTTACCGTGAAAGAATTTTTTTCTCCATTGAATTAATGTTAGTTCTGTTTTTCATCTAATATTTTATCCAATGATGCTCGTTCACAGGAGATTTTGCTCAAAAACTTTCACATCCATCATCAAATTTATCAAAAGAGTGAGTCAATAAGTTTGATTTGTGTATTTTTATTTTTTTATTTTTTTATTTTTTCATTAGTTTGGATTGATATTGCAACCATGGGAATGGAAAGACTTGTACTTCTCAAAAGATTCCTGTTGTGACTTTGTGAACGCTTTTTGTGTTGGAAGTTTGGTTCAAATGATTTAGATGCTGTTGTGTGTTTCATTTTGTTTTACTGCATGGAATGATTGAAAATGTTTGGGATCTCCCTTTCCTACCCTAATTTAATGTTTTATTATATGATTTAATTGCTATGATTTGATATATGGTTTATATTATTTACTTTTTTGGTCTTTGTATTATTATTTCTGGGAAGAAGGAAGTTCTTCACTCCTATGAATCTTTCATTGTCTGAAACATTACATTTGTTATATCAGATACATTGCAACGATTGATGGTTCAGTTCATAAGAGGCACTTAATAGCCATAAGTGAGGGAACAACCATTGAGGGAGTCCATTGTACACCTGACATTGTAGAGTTACTTCCACGTCAGCCTGATGTGCAAAGAGCTCGTCTTCGTATTGTGGTAAATTTATCTGTTTTGGTGTGCTATATCAGTTCTACTTCACAATACTTGTCCTCACTTAAACTACAGTCTGTTGGTGCATAAGGTTGATGAAATTGTCTTTTAAATGCAAATTTTAATGTTGTATGCTATGGTATAGCATACGTGTGGAATTATTGACTGTATTTCATATAATGCTACTTTGGGTCAATTCTAGTAGAGTCTGGGACACATAATTACATTTCTTTTATTTTTGGTAAGCACATAATTACATTTCTTTATCTCATAAGAAACTCAAATTTTCTTTGACTGTAATCATAAGTTGAAATGTTTTAATAGTTAGACAATATTGAGTAATTTAATTTTTGTACAAACTTATAAACAAATTATCTCTCAGATGAATGACTTTGTTATATTAAATTATTAATGACACATCCTGTTTTCCTTTTTGTTTCTGAATGTTTATTCTTTTTCTTGATGCTCAACCCTAAAGATTTTAAGAAATTTTTGTGGTCATTAATGCGAAATTGTTACATGTCACGCGGTGATATTTGTCTAGATTTAAGCAATAATACAGGATATTGCTCTCAAGATGGCTTCATTTTAGTCTGTTGAATTTACTCTATCTACTTGTTAGATCATTTGACCTTTTGCTTCATTTAATTTGGATTCTCATAGGTTCATGAAGGGAGGAAACATGAAGTTCGTGAACTTGTGAAAAATGCTGGACTTGAGGTTAGCTTCAATTATTCTTCTTCCCCTTTGAACGTTCCCCAAAAGGCCAAAAGGCCAAAAGTACTCATGCTTCGGCATATGTAATATGTGATAATCATGAAATTTAGTGAACCCAATTCCAACCAAACTGAATGTTTCTTTGGTTCAGATTTCATAGGAGTTTATATTAATCATGCTATTAATTATGCTAGGCATAACTTTTATATATATATATATATATATATATATATATATATATATATAGTCACGCCATTTTAGTTTTTCATGGGAGTATTATCCACTGCTGGTTTTCTTGGATTTTCTCACTTCATATATTATCAAAATTTTTATATCTTCAAAATAGTATCATGCTTTTAGAAGAAGTATATGTACCGGGTAAGGTGGACTTTCGTTACTCGATAGCATTTTCTTGATTTTATTTTTGATCATTTGTCTTGGTTAGAAATGGAAATGGAATAATTCCCTGACCTTAGTTTACATTTATATAGCACTCACTGCATGTTGTTTGAGGTCATTACTGTTTTATAATGTTGAGTAAATTCTTGTTACATGACCTTTTTTTATGTTAAATCCGTCAGAAAAATCAGCCCAGTTTAAAGTTTTTTTTTTTGGGTATGTTAAAGGTTTTTTTAGTATGTGTGGCTTGATTAAATTGATAACTTTCCACCTCATCTTTTGGGGTATTTGCTTGTGTTCTTAACTTCTTTGTGGGTTTCAACTTGTGGGTATTTTAGGAGAGTTTCCTATGATATCTATAGATTGTTACACGCTGAATGCTTTCTTTTTCTCCTCCGGGTACATGAGTAACTATACCTTCATTGATTTCTTTTTTGTGTTTCATATTTCAGATTCATTCATTAAAGCGAGTACGCATTGGTGGGTTTAAACTTCCATCAGACCTTGGGTAATTGTCATGCATCTAATTTTCCTTAGTTCTTGAGGGAGTCCTTCTTCAGTAGTAGTAGTAGTTGAATTTCTGAGAGAAAATCTTCCGTGTGTTTTGGTTACACGACGGAGTGGTGATTATTATATAACAAAAGCGGTTCAACAAAGCTAGACACTACCTTTACACTTTCTTATTTACTTTTTGTTTACACAGTGTTTTACACCGTTGGTTTACACTGTCTGAAAACAGCATTGCACTGTTTGCAACAGTAGTATTCAAATACAATTCCAATAATATTTCAATTGAATTTTATGGCGGTTAAGTGAATGAAAACATGTTTCATCTGTTGTATTTTTCAGGATAGGGCAGTACATAGAGCTAAATCCGACGAATCTGAACGCATTGGGTGGGAAGAGTTAACAAAGTTGTTTCTTAATTGTTGGAGTTATTATGGAAGAGTTGGCCAATACTTGTTTGATTTGAGCTGTTGAGTTCTGATACATAATGCATTTCTTGGGACAGTAATGGAATAGTGGCAGAGCACGCTGCTTTCTGAGTGTTTGACATCAAGCCAATCTGATGCTCATGCAATCGAACATATCTATGGTCTAGAAGAATTGGGATAAGATGTTATTGCTAAGAAGTGGTATGGCCTTTTCCCATGAATGTGTAGTCCAGGGACTGCTGGTATCTTTATTGACAGTGTTGTAAAGTGATGAAGAGATCGTGTACAAAACGATACAAGTTTAACCGAGGGCAGCCCGTTCAAATAAGAGGGTTTGTTTTAGAATCACGCAAAGATTCTCAGTTTCAAACTGAACCTACACATTAACACCATTTCTTGGAATGCTAACCACAGGCAAAGTTTTTGACGTTCTTCGCGTTACTACCAAAAATTTTCTATTCAGCTTTTTTCTTCAAACGGCTTGATATAATTTAGGTCCTAAAATGTGAAGTCCTATATTTCTAAAGCAATTCCTATATCCAAATCATAATACGTAATTTCAAAAAGAATAATGTCAGTTCAATTATACAGTACCTAAAATGCTCTGCTACCTCCTAACCCGATGATGCCATCAACCTTTAAAAGTTCAGTATCTAAAAATCAGCAAACTACGAAATCACCACGAGGGTAAGAAAATCCACATGTGTTCAAGGCTCCAAGTTTTCAAGATGGATCCCCTAATCCATCTCTACGATAGAATATACTAAATCTTAAATAGTTCTGAATATCCTGCTAATTGCTCGTGTGACATCATCGCGCTTTTATGACGAGCAATTAGCTTTGGGTTTGATTAGCTGGTGTTCATTACTTACGATTTACGAGCTGAACGAAGTTGCATATGACAAGTTAATGGCCAGAACATGAGTCGAAAAAAAAATTAATCGTGTGTTCCGAATCGATAAATTTTCACTTTTTTGCTAAAAGAGGCCACACAATCGTAGAAAGGAAATTATACAATATATTTAGCCCTAGAAATATACATGTGATTTTTAGGTTGTTCTTAATATTGACTTGAATTCCTCTCAGCCATACTCAACCCCAAAAATCGAGAAAGAAAGAGAAATATTAACCAAAAGGATGCAGCAGCAACCAAAATTGACATCGCACCATAAATTACATTACAAACAAATGAGGGGGGAAAAATGGAACTTCTATCATCGAGGGCAGAATCAAAGCCATCTTTTAACTTGGTCTATTCAGTTGTAACTTGACGTAAAATTGGACATCTGCATCGGCTTGTTGGATCGGATTTTCAGAAATAAGAATCAGAAATCTAATTGACGCGAGCACCCCATCGGTCCAAGACAAACATTGGAATAGAAACAATTGAATGCACACACTAAAGGGATAATATTTCAGATACTCGATCTTGTGCATCAGGAGGAATCTCCCTTCCAGGAACCTGAACATTAAGAAGGTTGGCATACCTGTGGAAATATACTGTCAATATAATTCCAGAAAAGGGTATTAACAACTCCAATTTGTATTAACTTACTCAGCAGCGGTAAACAAGTGCATATGTTCTGTAATGAAGGCAAGTAAGGCCTGCGACAGGAATAGGAATAGCAAGATAAGATGACTTGACAAAAATTACAATCAACACGAAGCAGTTAGTTCACTTGACTTGCCTCAGATGGCATGTTTAATAGTTCATAGTAGGTCCGGACTCGATCCAATCTCTGTTGCACAGCTTCACTATCTATGGATGGAATAGCTGCTAGTGCCTGTAACATCACCCAAAATTGTTATGGCTGTCAAATTTGATTAGGTGTTTTTTCTATCTCTACGTTTTTCAAAGTTCTAATTCTCTCTGAATGTACAGATGCATGGTAAAATCATCTAATTCTTGAAAAGTGATATGGAGCAGACATTTCTTTTTGCATGTCATTAACTTCATGAAAAATAGCAAGGACAACATTAATTACCTGTTCCAATGCGATAGAGTTTCGACATATTTGCTGAACGCCAAAAAGATTAATAGACTTCATATCCGCCAAAGCCTAATAAGTAATAAGGCACCCTAACATTAGCAGTGAAGGAAAGGAAATGATAGAAGTGATTTAACTGAAAATACAGCTCCAAAGATAAGTATGGAAAGTTAAAAAAAATAAATCTGAAAGTATACACGTCCACCACACCTTAATAGATGCATTTGCTGCAACCCCACAAATTCCACCAAATATGTAATTCCGCTTTGCATTTGATATAAAAGGGGCCATTGCTTCATCTCTTCGTGTTATCTGGGGATTCCATTTAAAAAGTAAAGATAACAGTTTGACTTGCACAAGCATATCCTACATCTTTGAGTCACTAAACAGGAAGATCTAACTTGCTGAAATTCATCAGTACAACGCACTTATTAACTGTTTTAACTTTGAAATTGGGGTTGACAGCAATTTTCGATAGCCTTTACTAAATCAATTAATGTATTTTTGGATTAGTAGGTTTACTAAGATGCTATACAAGCTAATTTAGTTTACCTTTAGTACCTTGTGTTAAAACAGTATTTTAGTCATTCCCGAAATTCCCTAGTCAAGAAATACACATTCCAGCTAGGGTTTTATATGTTTTATTTGGTTGTATCTTGATGCATATATGCTACTTCTTTGGTTTAGTATTAGAAGTCTACATCCTTTAGGATCTCATGATGAAAACCTCATAAGACAAACCTGGAAAAGTCTGCATAATGTAATGCTTACTTTCAATAATAATGATCAAATTTACAAATTCATTCAGCAAGAATGGAATCTTCTTGATCACATGATACAATCAAACCCTGGGTACAATTCCTTGGCTAATTTTCTCTCCTTAATCTCAAGCTTCTAGGCGAATCGAAGCAGTGGTAAAACTGTTTCTTCATGACTGAAAAGTCATGGATTCGAATCCAAGAAACAGCCTCTTTGCAATTATGCAAGGGTAAGACTGCGTACAAAGATTTCCTACACTCCACACTCGCTAGTCGGGTTTAACGGGGAGTGGTTTTTTTTTTTAATCTCAAGCTTCTAATAATTTAACAACTCGGAAAGACCAGATTCTAGTGCCAAAATAATACTTGGGAAAGTGATTTCAAGTCAACAATGACAGCAATATCAGATAAATATGAAATGGAAAAAAAAAAACAGAAATAAGCTTCCTTTTTTATTCGCATACACTAATTCATCTGAATTAATCTATTATCCAAACAAATTTAGCTTATTCTCCATTAGAAAGTGGCAAATCTCTCCGCATCTATCAGGTAGTCTTATCTTGCGTTACCAATTCATGGAGTATGGGCAGGTGCTGATGCATGCGCAAATTCCTGAATGTGTCAAATAAAGATTTTACAGCACAGGTGCCTCTATTTTGTCTATTAAATCATATTATTTAATATAAATCTTATTTAAATAATTATATGATTTAATAATCTATTGAAAAGATTAAAATATGAAAAAGTTGAATATAGCAAGATAGAAGTTATTTAGTATTGGGGGGAATTCAGTAAATAACGTCTTATTGTTTCTCTCAGTGCCATGGAAGGAAAACCTTGTCCCAATGGTTGGTGTTGTTGTCATGTGACCCGGAGGTCAGAGGTTTGATTGATGTAATCAACCTCTTATAAATGCAAAGTAAGTCTTCCTACCACAGACATTTCCTTGAACCCTACGCAGAGCAGGAGCTTTGTAACACCAAGTTGCCTCCCCTATGGTTTCTCTTGGAATCATTTACCTAATAGTTTTTTTTTTTTATCATTTACCCCCCAATGGTTTTTTCCATTCAGTCCACCTTCTAACACTCTTAAAAATTAAATTAGACTGTCCACTTTGCCCCTGTAAAAAGAATCACTATGAGCTTGCTGAAGTTCCTGATATTTTTATAAGAATTATTCCCTTAGTATGTTATATTGAGCATATCAAATTTGAGCCTGAAGGCTGAAGGGTAACAACATTCATACTTTGAATCATAGTTTGTGCCTTCAACACCTATATTCTATTTCTTTGAGATAGCAGCAATTTCTTTTGATACAAAATATTGACGATTGATTGGTAATATTCTGAAAGTAAAAACCGTTGATCAACCAATCCTCAGGTTGATGTGATCAATCATCAATATTACCAATCAATCAATCATAAATGGGTTCCTAACCCCCTTTTTTTGGATTAACACCTTACCTATATGTTGTGTTTGCATGTCAATGACTCTAATAGATGAATTTTCCCAACTTCTGATCCAATGTTATCTTTAACTTTTGCTTATTGATGTGTTGGTGTCCATTTACGGCTAGTGGTTGGGCAGCAAGAGCGGCTGAACAGAGGTGAAAATGTATGGAATTTCCTGGTATCCTATGACAAGCTTGGAGTAAGGTACAGGCTGTGAAGAGATGCGTTGGAGGGAGGAGCTTAGCAACTACCTTTCAGCAAAAAGATTCAATACTACTTTTTTATCCCACTCAGTAATGCTTCTCGGATCCAATAAGCATTTTCCCCCCTTAAATCAGGGCTCTTGGACCACCTTGCATTAGAAGGATTGGTTAGCTGATTCCCTGCTTTCCATAGCTCTCCATCATCCCTATGCAGCCATCCGGGAACTTTTATATATTGATTAGAGATTGCCTATACCGCAGTCCCATCAAAATATTATCAATCAATCATCAATATTTTGTATCAAAAGAAGTTGCAGCTATCTCAAAGAAACAGAATGTAGGTCTTGAAGGCACAAACCATGATTCAAAGTATGAATGTTATTACGCTTCAACCTTCAGGCTCAACTTTGATATGCTCAATATAACATAGCTGAAAGAATAATTCTTATTAAAACACCAAGAACTTTAGCAAGCTCATAGTGATTCTTTTTACAGGGGCAAAATGTACAGTCTAATTTAATTTTTAACAGTGCTAGAAAGTGGACTAGATGAAAAAAACCATAGTGGTGTAAATGATAAATAAAAAACTATAGCGGGGTAAATGATTCCAAGAGAAACCATAGGGTTTTTTTTTTGAACTTTTCCCTTATTTCAATTTATCTGCCATGCGGTGACAACTGTAATAAGTATATTATAGCAACCACAAAGAAGCAGCACAATTTGGATCCATGAGAGACAAGGCTAAAGGCTACCACTGTGTTCTGTGTTGTCTTTGGAAAGGATGGTAATTGATCTTCTTCATTGACATGTAAATTTTCTTAAAAGTCAATCTTCAGATACACTGTCAATTTAAATTGCATATTGCCAAACCTTAATCTGCGAAATGGCTCCGTGCTTAAAGCAGTCAAAGCACCAGTTCATATGCTAAGTTGCACTGCTATGGTGTTGCAGCCAAATTAGGTGATCTAAGTCTAACCTAAGTTTAATTTTCAAGCTTCCATCTATCACGGTACTCTTCCTCGGATCTCTAACAAAGAAAGGGATATCACAAGTTCAGAATGAATCACTGGATTTGGGATTTACAACCCCAAAAACTCAAGTCACTGCAAGGCTTCCTCCCTATGCATATGTGAAGGATCATTTCATCCCAAAAGCTTAAAATGTTAGGTGAAGAGCATATTAATGGTTTTATATTATATTTCTTTAACATACCTCCTAACACAAGAGCACATTGGGCTTGAAGGGTGAACAATGCACGGGTCTACCTACCTGTACTAAAAATCTCCACAATATTTAATTATTTATTAATAGAATAGGGGGTGGTGAGGATCGAATTCGTGACCACTTGATTATAGAGACTCTGACACCATGTAAGAAATCATTTCAACCCAAAAACATAAGTTGTTAGGTAAAAGTCATATCAATAGTTTTAGATTATATTTCTCTAACTTAATATACCAATATATACTCATGTTCCACTACCATCTATAAACATGGCTATCACTTTCTTGTCTAAATTTTAGTTCAATAAACTTACATCAAGAAATTTTAAGAGCTCACAATGAGTTAATCAGGATGCATTACTTCTTTGTCTTTAGAAAATTATCTCCAGAACCTTAGCTTCTTTTCTTGACTCGGGATTAGAACTTACCAAAACTGAAAATCTAACTTTTCCCTTAAACACTTATTATCCCTAGAAACCCAATACTATTATGTGAAAACCACACTTTCCCCAAAACATGAACCTTTACTTAATTTCATACCTTAATCTATTCTACCATCCTCAAGCCATCCAGTTAAATTAAAATAATATTGCTATCTGAAATCATTACGATATTCATCTCAGGTGGTGTTTGGTTTATTTTCTGTTTTTAGTTTTATTTTATGTGTTTTCACCAATAATTACACACCTGTGCAGTGAGCGAAATAATGAAGTCATCTGGCTCTTCAGCATCTTGGTCATCCAAGTACTCTGTATTTATCATTTCCTGCTCAAAGTTGTGATGCTCAGTTAAGTTTGGAGATAACTAACAACCAAATTCTCATTCCTTCCTCAACTAGAGACAAAGAACATCACAAGTGACAAACCTGCATATGAAATATTGTCTCCAATTGCATCTCTATACGTAAAACCTTGAGACAATCGACTGCCAATTTCCTATAATCTTGAGCAAATGATACTAGACTCCTTGTAGGTGCACTGTCTGAACGACTGTGATGGTATTTTCCTCCAACATGATTTGATGCTCTTTGAGTTGTCTGTCCAAGCCTGCAAATTCCACAAGGAATTAATGTACCACAAAAATACTGCCCTACGATTAAGAAAAGAGGGATCTTACTTGCATACGATGCTCGATTTCTATCATTTATGAAACCAGAAAAAAAAAAAAAAAACCCAACAGCATACTGCTTGTTAACATAATTCAAATAATTACTTGGTCTAGATGTTAAACGTCAAAGACAATGATTTAGGAAGAAAATAGCAAATTGCTTCCCAGAGAACTTGGCAAGTACAATCTAGGCAAGGAGATCTATTATTTTTTCTGGAGAAGCAGCAAAACACCCTTCTAACAAGGAAGAGAAAAAAAAAAAGGTGGCATGTAGGGTAGGTCGAGCTGAGTGTCATCCAGCATAGGAGGATGGTATCTATCAGAAGCCAGAGGAAAAGCAATAGAGAAAATATGGTTTCATTGATATTCTACATGTATTTATGTTCCATTAACTAACTATATCTATACTAAGAGTATGGATATGAAAGGAAGCTTATACCCTTCACATAGAGTGCATAACAAGTAACTCCTATCTTTAAAAAGTAGACACCACAAAATAAAACCTATTTCAATAGTTATAATCCCTTTTTTTCCAATTTTCTTCATCAGATAGGGAAAGAATAATATATGATACAAGAACGGAAAAACTATGTTGAGGCGGATAAGATGTCCTCGAGACAGAAAGGGAAAGAAAGCCCACAAACAAATATTCAACTCAACCCCCACCTTATTTCTGTATGCTAGAGAAACTTGGCTCGCAAAAAGGTGGGTCAAACTCCATAGACCATCCAAGTTAAGAACCGTCCCAAAGTTAATGAGGTCAACATTTGATTCAAAAAAAAAGTAGCATTGTTTAACCGGATACATCAAACTACAGAAACCACTGCACAACACAGAAAATTTTGGCTTCTTTCTTTTGTGCAAGGCCCCTCAATTGATTATCAAAATTTGAAGAACAGACTCCCCACTAATAGCAAACACTATCCCACAAACTCCTGGCCACAGAGCAGCAAAAAAAAACATGACTTCACCACCACAGTAGCCAGCCGCGGGATAATTTTACGGCGTCTGTTCTGGCCAAAACTTACCTCAACAGAATTAGAAAGAGCCAATCTATCCAACGCTGCAAGACCCACTTCAAATGGAGGGCCAACACGTCTACACCCGCCGTTTCTCTCTCTGGGTGTGGATGCCACACGCACCTTTTTGCAGGTATGTGACGTGTTTTTCGACAGCAATTTGCCATCAACCAAGGGACAGAAGGGGATGCCCAGCCCTCCTCTTTCAGATCTGCCTTTGCTTCGTTCAACGGACATCATTTGAGACATGGGTTTTTGATCTCACACATTCAGATCCGATATTTTGGCTAAGATCCGACAATTTTTGGCAAGATCCAAGTTTTTTGGATCTCTTGGACCTCTGTTGCTTAGATCTGGTCTTCCCATTGCTATTTGGGGTCTCAAAAACTTCATTGGTAATTATCTACTATCCTTTGTGTTGCTTTTTTGTGATTAACTGCTTCTTTTCAGTCCATTTAGCACTATGTTCAACGTTGAGAGCACAACGACCATTCCACAGCCTACACTGTCTGCTATGCAACCCAACGTTCCTCTCAATCCAAATGATCTCTCCACTTTACATTAGAAATATTGCTTCTATGAGAAGAATTATTTACACTGGTCTTAGCTTGTTCGTACTATTTTTAAAGGACATCGTAAGGTTGCTCATCTTGAAGGCACTGTTCCAAGCAAAACAGATCCCAAGTTTGCTGAGTGGGATGATGAACACTCTTTTATTATGACCTGGTTAAGGAACTCTATGACCCCTGAAGTGAGTTAGCATTGCATGTTCTTATCTATCGCTCTCAACATTAGGGAGGATCTTTGATCAATGTACTCCATGAAACAAGATGTTACCACATGCTATGAATTGAGGAATAAGATATTTCCTGCCAAACAGGGCTGTCTCTTTGTGGCAAAATATTATGGCACTATAAAAGGGCTTTGGATTGAGGTGGATCAATACCAGAGTTTGAAAATGAAATGTACTAAGGATGTTACCACCCTTGCAACATTGGTTGAAAGGGATCAAATCTTTGATTTTTTGTAGAGTCGCGGGGCAGTCATGATGGATGTCAAGCTGCCATATGGATCTGTTATGCTCTCATCTAAGCACACTTCTCCAAATTCTTCTTCTAATTTGAAGCCTATTGATGGGTCTATTATTCTTAGTGAAGCCTCCTCACCATAGTTTCTTTTCTACTTCTAAGTCCAACAAAGGGGGACGCTGGTGCACCTATTGTAAGAAATCGGGTCACACGAAAGACATTTGTTATCGCTGCAATGGAAAGCAGCAAATTCCGGAGAAGATCGATAGGTCAGCCTCGTGTGGCCAGGCTCATTTGACCTCACTGAACATGGCTACTCCTAGTGAGAGCTCACACGTGTCTGATGAATTCACTATTATTTTCCGTGATGGATTGGAGCGGCTTCGGACTATTCTTGATTCTCTCATTAAGCCCCTTGGTACTGGTTATTTGGCTATGAATTGTAAGAACAAAAGCACTCAATCTTTTATTGCCTTTGCACTGATATAAAAAATTCATGGATTGCGAATTCTAGTGCTACTGATCATATGACTTGTTGCGCTAACCTATTTCTCTCTTATTACCTTATTGTTAGTACTCATACTATAGTCGTAGTTGACGACTCTCGCATTAGTTGTGGGTTCTGGCAACATTCGAATTCAACTCTCCTTGCATTTAAAAAATATTGTTCATGTTCCCCAACTCTCCATCAATCTTCTTTCCGCACATAAACTTAGGGGTCAAACATATTGAAATTGATTGTCATTTTATTCGAGAAAATATTCAATCAGGAGAGATCAAGATAACATTTGCCAACTCCAATGATCAACTTGCAAATATTTTCTCTAAAAGGCTCTTAGGGGTCCCCGGGTTGACTATATTTGTAGCAAGTTTGGTGCCCATAATATATACACACTAGCTTGAGGGGGAGAATTAGAATCTATATATAGTAGAGTGTTTAGTTATTATTTATTAGCCCCACATCATGTAAATAGGGCCCAAGCCCATGTACTCTATTATTATAAATATAAACCTTGTGTGATCACATTAGACACACAATTCATTAACTTCAAGACACACAGTTCAATTCACTATGCACAAATTAAAACATTGTCTAGATTGCATCGTATGTAGAAAACCCACCTTTCGATAGAATCTGCAACATATTCCAACGAGTCACTAAGTGATGCCAACAAAATAAGTTTGTTGTCATCATGGATTAGGTTTTCCTGAACAAGAAATACAACAAAGTCACTGGAGAAGCATAATATATAGGGGAACAGGTTTTTTTTTTTTTAGGGGGGGTAATTGAGGAGTGGGAGATTTCAGCTAGAATGAACAAAACAGAATAAGGCAGTAAAATGAAATACTCGAAATAAGAAGATAATTGTATCAATAAAGAACAGTAACTTGTTAGTATAAATAAACACAAACCTGCTTAATAGGACGCAAATTTAGCAGTAATTCATTTAGTTCTAATTCAACCTCTATCGTTTCAGCATCAGAGGAATTGCTTTCCATGTTAAACTGACCGAGCAGATTTGGTAAACAAGCACTTGAAGAGTCAACCTTCATCAATTTCTCAATATCATGCCTCCCAATAAGCATATAACTCTGCTTCTCAAGAACTGCCTGAAATATAATTGACAAAAATGTTATAAAATAGTAACATTTGAAGACTGTTGTACTAGTCCCACATCATTCTGGCATACTTCACCACATAATATTCTCTGTAAATCATTGTAGTTATTGTAAAATATTTTGTTACCATATTTTAGTCATTATATTAGGAAAGTAATTATTTTGATAGGTCTATATATTATAATCAACCCAAGTACAGAATAATTCAGAAATACTATTTAGTACTTTTCCATTCAAGGCCACTATGCAAGACAACTATTTATAGGTATGTCAACAACCAAATCGCCTAAATGCTCGAGCAATTAGATGTAGGCACATAAAAGGTTTTATATCTAACAATCTCAAGGACCAAATTAATCCAAAAGCTTAAACTATTAGGGGCAAGGGCGGAGGAACTAGACAAAAATGTCAATTGGGGGGGGGGGGGGACCTATAAATTTAAGAGGTTTAAATTATATTCTAGAGAAAAACAAAATATTGTGTTCATTGAATTTTACAAAGTTTGGGGATGCTGCAGTCCCCTTATGGACCATGTAGTTCTGCCACTCGGTGCAGGCAAGAGTGGTTTTATATTTCTATCAAACCCATTTACACAAGAGTCGTTTGGACTTGAAGGGATAATCAGCCCATTTATATTTTGTAAAACCATTCCTAATTAAACCCTGATTAGCAAAGGTGGGGTGAGGGTAATCTTTGTATGCAGCCTTACCCTTGCATAATAGCAAAAGGACTATTTCCTAGAATCGAATCCATTTATACTTTGTACTGAAATTTAATTTAATTAATGAAAAATAGGAGCAACAAGGATCAAAGTCTTATCCACTTGGTCATAAAATTGTGTTCTTTGCTTCTTTATGGTGCCCAGCCAGTATTGATTCAAATGGGTAACTTTGTCTGGTATCAAGAGGATTTGGCAATCTCTTTTCTGAGAATGCTGCTGTTTGTGACTTTTTGTTATGTTTTTGCTTAGATTCCTTTGAAAGATTGTATATCCTTCATGGTTGTGTAGTTTCCTTTCATTCTACTGTAAGTTTTTAATCCATAAAAAAATACCTCCATGTATGATGTCCGGCATCTTTCATAAGTCCTCTCCAGAAAAGTTTGCACATACTTCACAAGATCGCTAGCAAATTTGGGCATTGCTTGTGCCCAGCCAAGCACCTGCAGTAAATTAGATGCAAAAGTCTAAAGGGAAAACATCCATGTTCTCTAACTATCAAATGAAACTAAATAGCCAATATATTAAATAAAATAATGTCCCAATATCAAGATTATTATTAAAGTTAAAATTTACCTCCTTTGTCAAGTAATCTATAGCCAATAAACCTTGTAATACAGGTCGACCCTTCTCAATTGACGGAGTGTAAGTAGTAACCATATGTGCCCTTGGACGAAATGCAGCTGGACCTAAAAGTTTATAACCAGAGATCAAATCTTAAAACAAACTTATGTTGAAACCATCTGAGGACAAATACTAATCTCTCGATCAGTCATCAACATTCAATTTCATTATTTTAAAACAAAGGAAGAATTATTGTCGAATAATATTTTTTTTTTCATGGCACGACATGCCTAAAAAGCCTAATAACCTATTCTATCATATCAAATTGTCTGCAACTTCTTTTGCTATTAAATTTCAGATTGAAAGATTCTGCAACTTCAAACATTAAATAATGTGGCAGCAATTTAAGTTCTTAAACTTGTCTTTATGCACCATGATATTAAAGATTAGGGAGAATGATAATAAAGGACCAGCCTAAGCTTCATTCTTAAAAAAAAAAGACCTATGAACACTAGATTAACCACTCTATGACAAGTTTAACCACACCTTTTTTGTAAACATTTTAAAAAATTGATCCTTTATTTTAATTCTCCCAATAAATTAACACTTGAAAGAAGAAAGACTGAATATTATTATTTCTCAAGTTATCATGTAGAAAGGGTTACAATATATAGAGACTGCTGGGCAAAATGGCCTAAGAGAATAAACCCCAAGCCTGAAATGATAATAAGGAAATACTAAATTAGGAAATACAAATAATTACAAATATTTACAACAATAACACATTTTAGCAAGTTAGCGTTTACAAGAATAAAAATACTATGAACAACTCTAAAAACATTTGGATGCATGCTGCGTTTTCTTGTGGCTCTTTGAATTGCAATTTGTTAGGAAAGGATAATCTAGCAAGGGAACAAGTCTCGGGTGACAAATGCCCAGAATGTTTGGTACTACTTTGAAATCACTTAGGTCCAGCCTTCAGTAGGGTAATACCAACTTGTTTAAACTAGATTACAGAAATTTTCAAGTAAACAAATTTTGCTTCAGACATTTTTAAATGTTCTGGGCTGGATATAATGTATTTATTACTCAAGTAATTGTCAATACAACCTTCAATTGAGAATGAGCCTTTACATCAAACAATTCCGACAAAGCTAATTTCGATATTCTTTAAGGCATAACAGACATACTGCAACTCATGTTTAAAAAAAAATGACAAGATTCTTATCACAAAAGACCACACTAGAAGTCACGCAGGGCTTCTCAAAGAAGAGATACAAAAAGAAACAGCCAGAACAGTTTAAAAGACTTGCTTGATATGGCTTGCTGTACGCTTTTTCGGTAGTCTACAAACATAGTTGGTAAAAAGTGGTCCTTCACAAAGTTCTCCACAAAAGCTAGCAACCCATCATTCCTGCAATTCACAAAGTTGACAACACCACAAACTAACATTAATGAGTTAGAAAGCAACAAAACTTGAGCTTGAAAAGATGTTTCGTTATTTGTTCAGAATCAATCAGCAGGAGATTATGCAGAGATAATATAAATATAAGCATAGTCAGTCAACACCATATGTAAAATTTAAAAACATAGAGCAGCAACCATAGGAGCAGCTTCCTAATTTCATTCTATTTCCTTATTTTGATTACGGTTAGAAGTCTATTGCATTAGTTGCCTTGGGCTTCTACCAATAGTATTACACTAGTACTAGACCTAATTCTTAGTATAAATTAAGTAGGTGTTAGTGCTTAGTATTTTACACACACCAAGTCAATCCAATCGAACATTATTCAGAGCCTCCTCTCTCTCTTTTTCTACTTTCATATCTAAACCCTATAATTTTAATATGGTATTAGAGTCTCTATGACCAAGTGGACAAGTGAAGAAAGAGAAAGATGGCAAACAATTTAAGTGTGTTTTATTTTGTCATTGACAAGGAAAAGATTTATTACTTTTCAACCACATCTTTGGTTCCTGTTCTACATCATAACAGATAAAGAATATTCAGAAAACCAGACTTGACTAGCCAATTTAACCAATTAGCTGGGAACCAGACTATGTAATAGATTGATTAATATTAACATCTCTGCCTTGCATCTACTATCTTTCACATTAATTTTCTTTTTTACAAATAAGTTTCTTTCAACACTTTACCTCAACAAAATACTCAATTCATTCTGCTCCTAAATCGTAGCATTTTGAGCATAGTAAGCATTACATACTAGAAAAGTTAGTACTTGTTAAGAGATATAATAAAATCATTCATGTGCTTTCACTCAACAGCTAAAGTTTTTGGAAAAGTTGGTTGCATGACATGGTATCAGAGCCTATGACCAAGTGGCTTCAAGATTGATCCTTGTCGCCCTCATTATCAAATAAAAAAAAGTAAGTTAAATTTCAGAACAAGGCAAACCAAAAATTGGGCTTGTGCATTATCCACGTTTCAAAACCCAAAAAGGTTCTCACATGAGGATATGTGTTAAGAGATATAATAAAATCATTCTTGTACCTTTACCTAACAACTTAGTCTTTTGGGAGAGTTGGTTGCATGACTCTACTAAACATTCAATGCAGAATCCAACAATGTGCCACAATAGCAATGTTGGATAAAGTAAAATGAATAAGCACATATCTAGGGGTGGCAATTTTCAACACGACCTGCTAATAGAACACAACATGAAAAATTCGTATTCTGATCAACTCGTTTTCAAATTCGTGCCGTGTTCGGTTTGGCAAAAACTGACCCCAAAAAATTCGTGTGGTGCCGCGTGTCAACCTGCGAACTCGAAATTCGCCTGCATTAATTTTCTTACAGGTCATTCGTGTCATGTCGTAAACAAGTTATTCGTGTCTTATCGTGTTGTGTCAACCAGCAAAATAACTTGATTTCAAACTCGTGTCGTGTTTGTGTTGAGCGTATTCATGTTCGTGTCGAATTTGTGTCGTGTCGGGTCTGGTCGTGTCAAATGGAATTGCCACCTCTACTTCATCTCCACTTATCACGACACACAAAAAGCAACATTTTAATTACACATAATTTTTTATTAAGAGAAAAAAAAGTGAACAAAAACGAGGCATTTTGGTTTCACACACGAAATAAAAAAATATAACAAACAAGAAACAGTGCAATGGTTTTAAGCTCACCCAAGCTGGGAGTACTTTGTTGGCAGCATTGAGGCAACTTTGTCCGTAAACTGCACAAAGAACCAGGTCAGGAATAAAGTATAAGGAACATCATCAAAACTTTACAGGAGGGAGTTCAGCAATCCAATATGCAACACCTGAAGCACAGGACGGTATACGGATGCCGCTAAATATATGCCTTCTTCAGGCAAAACTGCTGCAGAACCATAACCCTCTTGCAGCACATTGGGACC